TTTTTTTTTTTTTTTTTTTTTTTTTTGGAGCTTATCGCGCCCTCTTTAGAGTCTTTGGCCTTAGTTTTTCAACAAACAGCCTCTGCACGGGGTGTGTTTGAAGCTAGAATATTCTCAAAAATGCCGAATAGTTATTGGATCGGAAAATTTAAAAATTATCATTCGTCACCCGATATCGTCCCAAAAGTTTAGAATTTGTTTCAAACCGATTGTCGGGGAAAGGGATCCGGAAATTCCAGTGGTAAAATATCTTGAACAACCTGAAATTCCGCGCCTTCGCTTTGATGTCCCAATAATCTATGTGCACATTTCCTCACAGCAACCCCATACGCACACTGTTAGCGCCGCAGGATGGATCGAGTCAATCAGTGGCGTGGCGTGCTTTGCGATCTATCGATTGATCTGCCATTTAAACACATGGGAAAGGATCGATTAACAGGGTGTCCGCAACGAACACCTTAATAATCGATTCTTTACCATAGCTTCAAATGGGGAAATATCGTTAATCGATCATTCACGCCACGCCCCGCCACTGGAGTCGGACAAAATTTGGGAAATTTTAACGCTTATAACTCCGGTGATACAAATCTTTGAGGTTCTAAAAGTGGTCCCGATGGTTTCCTTGTGAAATTTACTTCATTAAGCACCCCTTAAAGTTTAAAATGTGACGAAATAAACATCAAAATTTGCAGCTTAAGTAAAAAATTGCACGTCCGACCTCTCTAATTGACTCGATCCACTGCGCGCTGGAAGTTCAACGAGAACACCTTGAATGTTTGGATCCTAGTAATGAAGTGTAGAATACAAAATTTTGGGAGAGCGATTGGTTCGAGGTTCGAGGACGTTTCAAAGATTTATACGTGACGCGGAGGGTGGGCACAGGAACAGACCACGAGGAAGGAACCTGTCACTATGGCAACGGAGACGCATCAGCCAAGCTATGCGTAAAAGCCCCGTGCCCCGTGAAAAAAAAACGGCTGAAACGGGAGATCTGGGTCACTAAACGCACAAGCTAAACGGGAGTTCCAACATTGTTGCCGGTAGACCATTCCCAATGAATTTGTTAAGGCGCCAAGTCAGTATTTTTCACATGAAGAAAAGGTTATTAAATTAGACACATTTTGCTTAAATTCCCTGACAATTTGAACGCGTTAAACATAAAGGAACCAAGCCACATCAGCTATTGCCATTTAATTGGGCAATTTAATTTTTAACATGAAAACGGTTGTGCGGATTTTCGTGCAAATTTCAGTGAAAATTTTCCAGGATACGAAGCAAATTCCTTAAAATTTTCAAAGAAATCCGAACAATCTTTCTCTCGTAAAAAATTGACTTGCCCAGTTAAACTTGGCAATAGCTGATGTGGCTTGGTTCCTTTCTGTTAAACTCGGTCCAATCAGAGATAAGTCAGATTCTTAAAAAGACATCATATGAACAATTTTTCAGGCAAAAATTCTTGTTCAAAACGTAAACTCATTGGAGAAAGCGAATTAAGGTGACTGAACAATTTTTCCCTGGCAATTTCGTCCATTTTCCTAACATTTCTAGGTTTCTCTGACTTTGAAAAATACCTGGACGTTTCCCGGTTTTCGCGTTCTTTCCTGGATGTGACAGCTCTGATTAAGTGGTAAAAACTTTTCTGTAGATCAAACAACGCTTTTGAAGGAAAACAAATTCTTCAAGTCAGTATTTATCACATGAATAAGTGGTTATTAAATTAGATTTGTATAATAATCGATTGGTGTGAAGGATTTATTTTTCTCCAAAAGCGTTGTTTGATCTAGAAAATTTTCTACCATTTAATCAGAGTTGTCACATCCAGGAAATACCGGGAAATTTCAAAGAATTTTTCAAAGTTAGGGAAATCTGGAAATGTCAGGGACATTGACGAAATTGTCAGGGAAAAATTGTTTTGTCACCTTAATTTGCTTTCGCGAATGAGTTTGACGTTTTGGACAAAAATTTTTGCCTGAAAAATATTTCATATTATGTATTTTTAACCATCTAAATTATCTCTAATTGCCACGGAATTTAACCAAAATGTGTTAGGAAATCCAGGGAAAGGCCAGGGAACTTCATAATCGAAAGTCTGTGGCAACCCTGAATCATTGGGTTTTTTTCTGACATGGAAGAAAAAAAATCGTTTCAGTTGAGTTTTGTTTAATCCAAATCGATCTTGTTTTGTCATCCATGACGGTACTTTAGTTTGATATAAATGACATTCGTTTGAATTGCAAAAAAAAATTATTCGGGTCACAAAAGTTTTCCTGTAAATCAAAGAAACTTCTTCACTTTATAAAACTTTACTTTTTACCAAAGAGACCAAATTTTTCAATCATTCTTTACTGGGGCGCTACGTAGCGCCTCCAGCTGAAAATTGTGCCAATTAATTCTGTATTATATTATTTTCCTTCAAGAAAAATTCGACAGAAGAGGTCTCCGAAATGAACGAGCTTACGTAAGTATTTTTTTTGCGCACCATCGGATAATCGTTAAAACTTCGACTTTTTGGCTGAAATCTGACAGTCAGCGGCTATTTCAATGAGGCGCGGAACACATGCACCATGCAAACCATGCAATCACACAGCCCGACTGGAGTGCCTAAAATATTCATGCGACACTATTATACTGGGTCTGTTTACCTTACCCTTGCCGCCCCCTCCCCCCCTCTTTTTTGGTTGCCACGTTTCACCAGCTCAAACAGGAGACTTAAGATTTTCAATTCACATGCAGACGATTTTTGCTTTGATCCCGAACAGAAATGGGTCAACCGCTCCAGCCACAGGATCTTATCTCGTTTTTCCAGCTTTTGAATCCTACAGGGTGGTCACAGTCAGGGAAAACTGGGAACGACCCAAAAGCTATAAGAAAACTAGGGGGCTACGCCAGCCCCCTGGCCGCTACGCGGCCCAACCCCCTGAAGGCGCTCCGCGCCATCAAGGGGCCGCTTCGCGGCCTTATTTTTACCCTCCTATCAGTGTTAGTTTTATTTTTCCCCTAAACAATTACGATATGAGATATACTTTAATTTTAAACTTTACTTAAAATTACTTTAAAATTAAAAAGACGCGTTTCGGAATGACTGCTTGATGAAATATTGCAGTAAAACAATGAACAATGATAGTCAGGTAATAATTAAAATTTCACGAGTCGGGGATCGAACTTACACCGAATTCAGAGTGGACGCATTCGACGTCTTAGACGACTCGGTTACCGCTCAACGTGAGGATTTGAGTGCGAATCCTTTGTGTAGTTAAGTGTAGAGCTGATGCGCAGGCTACACAGCTACTGCGCAACCTCCTCGACCACTGCGCATCCTCCCGCGCATAGCGGTAGCAGTACCGGAGCATTCTATAAACTCACTCACTTTTATAACGTGATTTTAAGAAATCCTGGGTCCTTTTTCCAAAATCTGATTACAGCGGGCTCATCTAGGGCCTATTACCTGTCGATTTACGCAAAAATCATGGAAATCGGCCCGGTAGAACGCTCAAACGAACTATGACAAAAAGTATAAATTTACATTGTTTAAATGGGAGAATTCGCAACTTTACCACGTAATATAAAAAACCTGGGCCATATTTTGAAAATCTGAAAAGAGTTGGCTTATTTAGAGACAATTGCCCGTCGATAACCGCAAAAATCATGAAAATCGGCGCGGTAGAACGCTGGAACTAAGCGTCACCAGTTTCGCAAAAATAGGAGGTCTTGGAGCTTATAGTATAGATTGCGTGGAAGTCGCGACTCGTTACGTGTGGTGCCATGCACCTCCGTTTGCCGCTTACAATTGGCAGGATCGGAAAATCTTGAAATTATTATTTACCACCCCGTGTCGTCTTAAAAGTCAAGGAACTTTCTCGAAATTGATTAGAGCAAACCTAAAAGTCAGGGGATTAAAATCCAATTCGAAACGTTCGAGATCACCTCTCTAAATATTAAACAAGATGGTATTTACTTCACTAAGAAATATTCGCTATTGGATCAATAGAAATTCCAATGAATAATACTCGGACGACGATTCTCGTTAGTAAGTCAGTAGGAAATTTTTTCGTTTCAAACAGTATTTTTTTCATTGCAAAACGACGTCTTGTCACATTAAAGAACTTTCCGATTGACTCAAGGGGAATTCTCGTCCGAGAGTCATTAGCCGGAAAAGCATGTCTTCACAAAACCGATATCTGATCTCACTTCTCATGAAATTGACACAATATATCATTTTTCTCGCTGAAGCTGAACGTTTCTACATGAATTGACCTTTAAAGGATTCAACCATCAAAAACAATCACTGTACATATGACTAGCGAAAAGTAACTTTTATCGCATTAGTACCGATCATCACATTTTATTTTAACGCAAAAAAAAAAAAAAAAAAAAAAAAAAAAAAAAAAAAAAAAAAAAAAAAAATGGAATTTTGAAGATGACAGACTCCTGAATGTAGAGAATAAACATCAGAATCTTGAACAATTGAAATTGTCTCCTACACAGTTCGATTTCACTCCATTGTTTTTCCCATCGTAATCATGCATGTACTTATGAGGCAAGCAGCACAAATGCTGGTCTGGGTACCATCGATTAATAAACCCAAGGCGGGAAAGCAAACCTCTGTGCAGGGTGTCTACAAGTCCGGAATTTCCGGAGAGTCAAGAAAAAGTACTGATTTTCTAAGGGCAGTCCGGAAGTACCGAAAAAGTGCGAAAATTCCGGAAGAAAGTCCGAATTTTATTGTCATTTTTGTCGTAATTTGAGCGAGAAATTAACATTTTTGAAATTTTTTGAATTCCGTCTATCGGAGGTACTGAAAAAGTTTTGAATTTTTCTATTGAAGAGGTACTGAATTTCTTGGGAATGTACTGAAAAAGCACTGTAAAAGTACTGATGTTTGGCCAGCCTGTTTTAGTAGACACCCGACTGTGCTGCGCTGCGTTGACTTTTCCACGATTCGTCGAGTGAGCTCCTGTTTCTTAGTTTCCCCCAAATAATTTTTCTTTGTTTTGTTGCAGATGTGGAACATTAAACGCATCGGATTTGAACTCTTTGAACAGATGGTAAGCTTGATTTCAATTTTTTCCTCTCATTTTTTCTCATCCCTAATCAGGCGATCAAAATTATTTTGTCTCTGCTCGAAGCACATACACGGAGCGGAACGTAAACGTGCGACACAAATCTTACAGTGCATTTTTGTCAAATGCCACTGCGACACGTTTCCAGTTAAAAGTGCTCCTTTGTATTGGCGCGTATAGAGAGCAAGCGACGAATGGAAAATACGTAACGAATGCAGTGCGTGACGGAAACGGGAAGCTGCTGAAACGAGGCTAGCAACCACCGCGGCTTAGACTCCAAAACGTGCGCTCTCCCGGGTCCTGTTCAAAATCGATAAAACATGCCAGGACAAACATTTTCCACCCCCTTGCACCATTGTTTCTGCTCATTGCGCTTATATCAATAAATCAATTACCGGGAATTCGGAATTCTTGATTGAATTTTCGCGCGCTGAGAGAGACAAAAATTACCTACACAGAGAGAGATTTCAACACAAAAGTTTCGCTAGTGCGGGAAGTAAAACACAAAATAACCCTGGCCTTCGGTTGGCAATTTCAAAAGAAAATGCCAACTACTTTTCTCGCAGAAATAAAAAACGAGTGGTAAATACCAACGTCGCAGTCGGAGGAATGTGTTTTCCTGTCCCTCCATTTTTTTTCTGCACTAAATTCCTCCCAAACTGTACGAAAATCAACAAAAAATTTGTGTTGGTTTATGTTTCACTTCCTGTATTAACCACAAGTAACACAAAAACACAAATATTTTTATTAGTGTATGCTTGATTGTTACAACGGTTTATGGTGGAGAGTCTCTTTCGGTAATGAGTTTCATTTAAAAATAAACTACTGCCTCCTTGCAGAAGAAAAGAGGGGGGGGGGGGGGAGGAAAGAAATGTGCGTTAATTCGTGAGCTCAACGTTTTTTAATTTTCATCCGAATTTTTATTTCTTCCTTTATTTTTATGAAAGTAGAATTTCGGTGAAGACTTACAAAAAATCATAGCCCCATGTTTTTCTAATTTCACGATCGGCAGTCTTCTTCAACGCTAGGAAAATTAAGGTTTTGATAGCAGTCCATGAAACGAAATAAAATTAAAAATGGAGGGAATGCAGGTGCAAGTAGAGCATGTTGATGGAACCTTGGAAAACGAAACTCAAGACCCAGGGTTAAAAGGATTGTGTCCCTATTTTTCTTCCGGGGGGAGGGGGTTCCGAATCAAAATCTTCCGTAAAATTTGTGGGTCCCTCTTTCGCAAATTGAACGATACGGTTGGGTCAAAAACCTCCTCAACTGAATCCCTCTTTATTACAATCGAAGGATTGTATCCGAAAAATATTGATAGTAAGAGCTCCCCAGCATATTTTTAGGGGAATTGATTATATGGACGTATTATGGTAATATGGTAAAAGAAACCATGTGCATAGGGTTTGAATGCTGCATAGCTCCCATAAAATGCACAAATACGTCCATAAAATGAGCTCCGTCGGACACTATAATCTCTTTGCTACTCGTAAGTAACTCCCCTGGGCTTTGAAAGTTCGCTCGTGTTAGTAGATTGATGAACGGCGCTTAATCCTTCTCGCAGCTGTGTCGTTTCAGCTTTCATCAGTTCCGAGCCTCGCTGGTTTTTGTCAACAGACCGTTTCTGATATTTATGCACCATTCAGACCACAAAATCCAAGATCTTGTCGTCTATTTTTGCCGTGGTGAGGGACACACTCCTAACTGCGCTGATCTGTAGCCTAACGGTGTTGATCCTATTTCGTCGTCTATTTTTCCTACTTTTTCCTGTGTCCGCTCTCTACATTTTTTTAATCAGGACTGTAACGTTTGTCCGCAGCCGCCAAGTTACTTTCGAGGAGTTCGAGGTGTTCTTTTAACAAACTTCGGGAAAAAATTCAAACTGATTTGTTTTAAAAATAATAATAATAATAAAAAAAGTAGCTCCTGTTTAATTTTTGTAAAGGAGCGAAGAATAATGTGATTCTTTCTTATTTTTCAATATGCTCTTGACATAGGGTACCTCCGTTTTTTTATTTGTAACTTTTTAAGACACTGCTCAATTTTCCATACAAATAGGAAAGAATGACTTTGTAAATCAAACAACTTTCATTTTTCAGCTTCATTTTCGTTGGGTTTCTCATCGAGATTGCAGTGATAGATTTGAAATTCCTCTCATTTCTTATTTATCCATCACGTTTTAGGTTTGAAAGAAAGACCCATTCATTCAGAATCGATCCTTTTATTTGCTGTAAATGGTCCAAAATAGCAGAACTGAATGTAATTCTTTAGGAAAGCTTACTTTCTGTTTTTGCTCACTATTTTCATCCCCCCTCTCACTCTTCTCCTTCCCATCTCCTCCTCCTCCTCCTCCTCCCGCCCTGAATGCTGCAACCACCCGTTGCATCCGAATTCCTTTCGGACCACTCCAGCCATTGCTGGTTGTATTCGGCCATTTTGGGGGTGGGTTGTGGGTGGGTGTTTAAATTTCCACTCGAGAATTTTACTTCATAAATTCTTCCCTGATTACTCGCAAGATTAGCAAACTTGTGCGTGTATCTTGCTCGTTCAGTCGTATTCGCACGCAACATCAAATCATTCTTGACTATTATTGTGCACCCCTTGAATGAAGTTACGTTCCTTCGTCCGAGAGACGACAGAATGACGTCACGACGGACACGTGACTCGCCAGTCCTACCCGCTGGAGATGTGCCATTATGCCACGGATGATTTCTCCAAATTTTGAGTGGATTTCAGTGTGTCGACTGTGGCCAGTGGCGAGTGCGTGTCTGGTCCTTTGCCAAGAGCCCCCCCCCCCCCCCCCNGCGCGCGCTTGCCAAATCGCACGAGATACGACCTGTTTCCCACTTCCGACCAATGCTCAACAAAATAGATTCAATTGAGATCAAACAACTTTAAATTAGAGTACGAGTCCTATGATCTGAATCTGTCTAGGGTTAAAAGGGTCTTCTGCAAGTTCTCTGAGCTGCCTAAAAATTTGGAAAAATCGGTCGTAAAATCAGGATTTGAGAAAAGTCGGTCGTCCGATCGGATTTTTTTACAAGCTATTTTTGTGGAGTTACATTCGCCTTTTTTTCCTCGCAAAAATTCAGGATTTGGAAAAATTATGAAATAAGGATTTGATTAGGATTTGGAAAAATTATGAAATCAGGATTTTGCGGTCAAAAATCAAGATTTCGCAAAATGAAAAAAAAACTAGACACCCTGGTAAGCGGTTTTTGGACGAGTCGATTTGGGTGTCAACGCAATCTATTTTTCAATTTCCAGGGTGTCTACAAGTCCGAGAAGTCCGGAAATAGTACTGATTTTTTAAGGACGGTCCGGAAGTACTGATAAAGTACGGCAATTCCGCAAGAAAGTCCGAAATTTTTGTTGCAATTTGAGCGAGAAATTCAAATTTTCCGAATTTCGTCAGATGAAGGTCCTGAAAAAGTACTGAATTTTTACTATGAAGGAGGTACTGAATTTCTTGGGAATGCACTGATAAATTACTGAAAAAGTACTGGTTTTTGGTCTGCCAGTTTTGGTAGACACCCCGATTTTGCAATCTGTCAACGCTGGTGGCGAGTAAGGGGAGTCGAACGAAAGAGAAATTACGGATTTACGGCGACGCCGGTGCTGTCCCGGCGCGGTGCGGCGTCCGGCAAGACTCTAAATCATCGGTGGAGTCAAATAAGAGTGGCTCTTCCTGAAACCCGCGATCCGCGTCCCGACGCCGCGCCGACACCGCGACCGACGCCGCGCGTCGACGTCGAGCACCAGCTGCTCCGTTTTACGATCCGTTGATTTAATATTCACGCTCGCATCGGATCAGTCCCGATGAGGCCACGCTTCCACAGTCAGTACGCGACCAGCGGCCAGGCGCGAATCATCCATAGAGTACCTATACAGAGAGAGTGCGGACTTGTCGAAAATGGAGCCCATATAGGGCCCAAAAGGGTAGAGTCCCTTTATACCCAGAGTTAAGACAACTCACTTTTGGTTGGGCCAGGGTTGGGCTGAAAGTGGCCTAAAAAAAATCCAGTTCTGATTGGTTCTCACTCATGGAGGCCGAAACGAGTGCACCAAGATGGCGGTACCTCGAATATGAACAAGAATAATGAAAATATTACCTAATTGTGGTTTATCAAGAGTAAATTGTCATTTCCATCGGTCCAAAATGAGAATAGATTAAGAAATTATTCACAAACCAATCTCATTTTCTTTTTAAGTGATCAATTTGTTGATGTTGTTTTTGTGTGACAGACATCGCAGGATTCCTGATCGTTATCCCTCAATATCGTTCGTTTGGGTGCACTCGTTTCGGCCTCCATGGCTAGCCAAGGCCGGCTGCCAGTCAGCTGATAATCGAGTTGTCTTAACTCTGGGTATAAAGGGACTCTACGAAAGGGCAGCCAACCTTCTATTCAAGGTGTCAACAATTCCGGAATTTCTGGAAAGTCCGGAACTAGGACTGATTTTTAAGGGCGGTCTGAAAGTACTGAAAAAGCGTGGAAATCCCGCAAAAAGGTCCGGAATTTTTTTAAATTTTTCGTCATTTTTGTCGAAATTTCAAATTTTTGAAATTTTTCTAAGTTCGTCAAATGGAGGTACTGGAAAAGTACGGAATTTTTCTGTTGGAGGAGGTACTGAATTTCTCGGGGAATGTATTGAATAAGTACTGTAAAAGTATTTATTTTTGACCAGCCTGTTTTAGTGGACACCCTGCTATTACAAAAAATGTCATTGCCGATCTTCAAATTCCAATATGAAACCCAGATAACCAGGACGGCAAAAACCAATGCTCCGAACTAAACTGAGATGGCAAAAACTAAGTCAAATACGTTCTTTACAAACAACGGGACTTAAAAATTGTAACAATATGTCACGCTGGATGATTTAAATTCATAGATTGGCTGCATTTTTGGGCCCTAGGAGCTCCATGGCCCAACCTCAAAATTACCAGGGCAAAGTTGGCAACAATTAGTTATGTAGTGTATTGACTT